GCAGGGGTGGGCCTGCAAGACCCAAAATTCTTCAACAGTGTGGTCCTGCTATCTTGGAATCAAATGACTAGCCAAAAATCAGTGTCCTGTGGGACCAGCAGGTGGCATATAAGTTACATCCCTAGATTCCCATATGGCTAACCTCAGTTCAAATCCCAGACCTGATCACTTGAAAATCATGCCAGGCACATGAGCATGCCCAAGAAAGATGGAGGAGAAGGGATTGTGGCCATCAGCCCTTGGGGGGAGGAGGAGGAGGTGATTTCTCAGTTTCCTTCTCACTGTGTCTGTCTGTTTCTCTCTGGTGAACGCTCGCACCCTAAAGCAAAAACCTCTAAAAAAAATTGTTTTAACCAGTGTCCTAGGCAAAGGCAACCAGAGGTGGCCAAAGGCTACCTATGAAGTGGGCCAACAGCAAAAGGCTACCAAGCAGACCCTACTGAAAGACGGGCCCCTTCTAATAGGCAACACTAAACTACATGCTTTGCGTGCAAAATCAGAACTTCACTCACCTTGTCCAATAGGGTGAATCCTGAAAATACTACTTTTACTAGGGGACTGGAAGCCTTTCACCCCAGAGAGTCTAAGCAAAGAGGCTTAAAAACCCCACAACCTCCATTTTTGTGTCTACACTCCACACAATTCAAAGAACATTTACTGGACAGGCCCCACTGTGACCAATACTGAATGAAGGGGAGGCTAACTACCCTCTAGGAGTCTACCCTCAGGGACGGGGAGAGAAACATAGGTGACTAGAACAAAATGCCAACATAAAGCACCCAAGAGGTAAAAACTGCTACAGAAGCCCAAAGGAGAACTCTCTCTCCTTGGGAAGATTAAGGAAAAACTGAAACGAGGAAATGAACTTTGACCAGAATCCCAAAGGACCAGCAAAGCTATCTCCAGGAGGACCTGATAACTTCATGGAATTGTTACCAAACTCAAATCAGATTTGCTCGCACAAGCACTGTGAAACCAAACCACAGGCACATGGTGTGACGAAGGAAAGTACAGCTTTATTGCAAAGCACAAAACCAGAAGAGTGGGCAGCTCATGCTGTAAAGACCCGGTCTCCCCAAGATGTTCCCCACATGTGTGGTTTTTTTTTTTTAAGTGTTTTTTTGCTATAGGGTGCGTGTGCTCCCCAGAAAGACAGAGACAGAGAGACAGAGAGACAGAAAGCGAGAAATCGCTCTCCAGGGGGGATGGCCACACCGCAATCCCTTCTCCTCCATTCTCCTATCAGGATCTTGGGCTGCACACGCACACACGCCTGGAGTGAGTTAAGCCACCAGGTCCGGGACTCGAACCACAATCAACTGCATGGGAGTCCAGTGACATAGCCATTACGCTAACTGCTGGTACCCCCACGTGCGTTTTTAAGGGCAAAATTAGGGGCAGAGGTCCTAGGTGCATAATCAGTTCAGTGATTGGTTCAAGAAGACATGATCATCTCATGGGCATTCTTTTTTTTTTTTTTTT